GCTTGCTGCATTCAGAGTATAGCTTTTGCAGTGTGTACAGCATTTTAAAGATGGCAGGGTTTTTGGCATCTCTGCTGCTGTCAAGGAGTTGTCTAGATCAATCTGTGCATCTGACAGGGGGGCACCAGGCCTGTGGGCCCCCTGACCCCAAAAATGGAAAGGGAAAAAGGGAAGGGTAGGGAGATGGGAACTGGACTCAAACAAACAAACAAACAAAAAACCACCAAAAAACAGCGACAATGATCTAAGGAAGAAAACTTATTTTACTAACTATCATATCTAAATACAAGATAAAACAATATAGTACAATCTAATTGAAATTGAGGCTAATAAATCAAATAAAATAAAATAAGAGAGAGAGAGGGTTTTCTGAAACCAAGGAAACCTACTTTGAACTGAAGGCACATGGCTTGGAAGCCCATCCGCACCCTCTGCCAGGCAGAGAGTGAGAGAGCAAGATCCCATGACTTCCTTCCTCCTGTGACTTATCTTCCTCTCTGACCATGAGGCCTGCAGGATATATAGTTCTTCTTCTCTTCTGAGAGACAGGTATCCAGCAAGTTGTCAGTCTGCAGAACTGGAGTATTAATTCTTTAATTACCCATGCTTTGCATGATGTTATGATGTGGAATAGTGATAGAAAAAAATTATAAAACCGTGGCAGCTGCCTGTTTGAAACACTGTTAAGTTGCATGGTCAACTGGCAAAATGAATATGTATTTAGCTTTTGTTATTGCTAAATTACAGGCCTCTCTTTGCTTTTGAGAACTAACATGTATACTAACTCAAATAGCTTTAAAGGCCAAAGTCTCTTTGACTTTTACAAAATTCAGAGTGGAGCCCAGAAACTCTGCTGATTTAAAACAAACAAACAAAAAAAAGTAACCAAACACCACAGTAACCTCTGCAGCTGACTTCAGTAGGGGTGGCTCTATTGACACCAGTTAGGGATCAGTAGTTGCATTTGGCACTTAAATAATTTGCTCTTGTGACAAGGTGGTGATGCCTCTGGCTCATATTAAGTGCTTTAGGGTTTCAGGAATTTTGAGTGGGGAATGTTGTTGCTTTCTAAGATGCTTATGGTTTAGGCTCCAGTGTAGCATAATTTTTCTTGTTCTGAATATGACTTCTAAATTTCAACAAAATACTTCATCCTGTTTTTTGGTCATTGCTCCATTCTTCCAGATATCATAGAGTAGAAACACAGATGAGTAGAGACACTTGCACAATAGGTCAAGTGCAGGTGGAAGATGCCTTTTGTGCTTTCAGTGAGGAAGAATAGGATTGCTCCTGCTCTGTTCCTCTAAACCAGGGATTTGATGTGGCAAATTGGCTTGTGCTACAGCTTGTAAGTTGTTCCTACTGTGACTGAAGGTGTCCTGAGCAAAGAGGTGAGTGGAAAGTCCAGCTCAAGCTGCAGGGGAAAGGCTTGTGATTCTTTGTATCATAATGACTTCAAGGGCTGAACTAGATGACCTGCAGAGATTCCTTCCAAACTGAATTATTTTACAGTGACATAAAATAGTGAGCAGCCTGGGGGGAAACAGTTATGAAAATCCTAGATAGCTATTAGCAGAATCAGATTTGAAATCATGCTATTAAGTTTTCTACCCAATTTCATATTCATGAATGTTGCTTTCTCTCTTCTCTTTGGAGTACAGAATAGCTTTGTTTCTAACCTTGAAGGAGTTTCCCATTAAGGTTTTCTCTCTGTTGATGATCAGCAGTGCTTGTGAAATATACCCCTTGATCACCATTGGATCTCAGTGTTCTTCACCACTTTTCTTTCTATTGGAGAGTATATTTTGCATTAAGATGAGAGATAAGATGAATTCATTTTAGTGACAGTGTTATTAAAGACTTAAAGATAGAAATGGTCGGTTCTAATTGAATCTCAGCACCCAGGTTGTTGTAGTACTGAAAACTTCTATTAGGTTTCTATAATTGTGTTAGAAGTTATAGCCCCAGGCTAATTTTGAAGCAAGAGAAACTGACAGTTTCCATGCAATACAGTCCCAGCCTGATAGTACTGTGAGGGGAGTGGGACTTACTCTTTGCTGGTCTTTTAAAGGTCTAGCACTGTTAGGGGCTTAGTGCTGTCTCTATTTGAGAGTGCCCTCTATATTGCTTTTGCTCCGGACCAGCATAATAAACTAATCTTCTGGCTCCTGGAGTGTTCATCTGAAGACATAGAGGGATGGGGAGTCGCAGGAGTGTGGTTTCAGCTAAAATCTCTGTACTCATGGTTTTCTGGAAGAGATGTGTGATGCCTTGATGCAAAGAGTATCAGTGGATGCAGAACTGACAGCTGAGTGGCTTCCTTGTGCAAGTCCTGCAGGCAGCAAGGGGCACCATGCTTCAAACTATTCTCATACAGGTCTGAGCTTGGTAAAGGTTTTTCAAAGAAGACCTCAGAGGACTTCTGCAAGGGGATGTGTTCCGCATAGCAGCCTGGCATTGCAGAGGCTGAGTAATGCAAGCCCTCTGCTCTTGGACCTACTCTTTAAAACTGTTTTAATGGCTCAGCAGTCTGCACTATAATGTCACATACACTCCATGCTGCCAGCTCAGAAGCGATCCTTTTCTGACCTCTGGTTCCATGTGACAGAACAAACATATGCTCATAGGGCAAGCAGGAGTTAAAACTAGCCTTGTCAAGAAGCTAATTTCAACCCTAACCAACTTCTCTAGCACACAAGAGCAGGAGAGCATGCTCAGTTGATGGTTATTGTTCAGCCCTCCTGCTGCTCTTCCAGCTGCCTGCACAATGTAGTCACATCTTTGCAGCAACTTGGCTTGTGTGGGCAGAGTCATCATTCCTATTCCTGAAATTACTTCCTAAACTGATGCAAGTCTACCTCCAGAACAGTATCTTGAATGATATGCAGTCTGTCACAACCATTTTTTGTTTCATGAACTGGAATCAAAATGTAGGTTTATTGAAATATTTCACTTTTGATTTTGACTTTTTTACATAAACTAGCTCTGCTTTCAGGAGAGTTGTTAAAAGCTGGAAGGAATGTTTTCAAGATCGAACATGATATTTTCAGCAGTTAAGCTTTTTGGCAAGGCAGATTTGTTAAAGCTCCTCCCTGTGATTTCATTCTCAGTGAGCTGTTGGCCTGACATTGACCCTGGGCACATCTTGTTTGGATGATGCGCTCAAGATTTTCAGAAGGTCTGGTGTATCCTGTTACCTATTTCTTCATTATTTCAGCTGTATGTGCCATCTTACCATGCCTTAATATGCATGGCCAGATGGTGATGATGGCTCATTAATGTTTGTGTCCTGAGTGAAATCCTTGAAAGGAAGGCATAGTCGTGGACAGTCATGCCCACTGGTCACAGTTCTGTTGTTTGCAGTGAGGCCATCAGCAGTGATATCACAGCAGAGATCCCCTCGGTGCTGATGGGCTGGGGCCCTGCTGGAGCAACTGCATGGTGAGATGGCCCATGCTGATGTTGTGCTCTGTCAGGTATACAAGCATCCATTCTCACCTCTGTGAGGAGTTTGTTGTGTGGTGAGACCAAACCTCCTGCAGCCTCTGCCCCAGGGAAGGTACAGTTCCTGCCCCAAAGCTGTGCAGGGACAGGAGAAAGGAGGTACAGGCAGCTGTGGCCTGGGCCCACGCAGCCCAGCAGCCCCCCACCATCTTTGCTGTGAGGTGAAAGGCAGGCAGCTCCAGACATGTGCTGTTGCAGCATCTCATTGGGAAATTCTTATCTCGATTTGCTGATGATTGCATTGGTAGTGGTTCCTTTCTAATATATGTATATATTATAGCTGTTTCGTTTGTAGGTTTTTTTTGTTCTGTCTTGGGTTTTTTTGGTTGCTTGGATTTTTTTGCACATCTGTTTTTAGATTTGCTCTCACTACTTAATAGATACTTGTGGATTTTTTTTTTTTTTGTTTGCTTTTTTTTTGGTTGTTCTCCCTACTTAAAACATGTGCTACATGAAGCAAAGGAGTATTTCTGTCTGTAACAGCTCCCTTCCAGAACTTATTGCTTCCATGAATGTCATACTGCATGGCAAACAGAGCTCAAATGTCTACTGCAACACTGTAATGCAGATTTCTTTATCAAGGATACAAACCTTACTGACACGCATACATCCAAAAACAAGAAGATGAAGAGAAAGTAGAACCAAAAATAGTTCACAAAAATTAAGAAATTTTTAACAGATTTTCAAATTTTCTGTAGTTTCAAGGTAGGAATGACTTCAGTGCTTTTGTTAAATATAGGTGAGCCATTACTTGCTTTCAGAAATACTAAGGTTACTGTTAGACAGGCAGAGATCTGCCTGTGTGTGACTAAGCTTATAACCAGGCTTTTCTTTTATTTTATGTAAAATATCTGTTGATGTTCAGTACTGCTCAAGCTCAGAAGTTGTAGTACTTCCTACTGGTGTAACATAGCACTTATATATAAATGTAGCATCATAATTTCTTATCTTTTGCCCTATATAGGTAAACACAGGCTGCCACAGAATTTTTTTTTTTTTTTTTTTTTTTTTTGGTGGCAACTATTGGTGCTTGCTTTTCTGTTTCTGTTGTTTTTTGGAAATCTGATTCAGAAAGGAGTTAGGCATGTCAGAACTAGAGAGAAATGGAAAAAAAAAAAGTGCCACCAAGTTACCATACCTTTGGGAAAGCGTCGATGCGTTTATTTATTTTTAGCTGCTTAGAAGATTACAGATGTTGAGAGCCTTTCACTAGTGTAGGAGGCCAATAGGAAATTCCTTGAAGTGCTGTACAGTGCATATTGGATTCTAATTTAAACATGGTTTTCACTCAGATGTTAAAAAGTCTGATGCCTTTAGCATGAGTTGCGCAGTGGATGTGTTGCCCCTTCAAATGCTCATCTTCAGTGATTCTGTTGTTCCCTTGTATTTAGGTGATTTTGTGCCTAATATGTTTTGCACTAAATTTTTTTACTTGGTTGTTGCTTTCATGTCAGGAAGCATTATTTTAATGGCATTTGTTCCCTTTCTTTTAATAGAGTCAGATTTACAGATCTGTCAAAATAGAGCACCAACATGCTGCACCAAAAAAATGGAAGAGAGCTACCAGGCAGCTGTTCGAAGAGAAAGGATGCAGAGTATCCAGGCACTGAATTTTGAACTGAAGTACATGATTGTTGGCCATACCACAGCTTTTCAAGGTAGGAACTGTTGAAGTACTCCAGCCCTGTGATGAGCAGCATATAAAATTATTCTGTACAGATGAAAGAAAAGCTGGTTTTGTTCTTCATTTTGTTGTACTGCATACAGTAGTCACTGGCTTCTTATTTACTTCCCTGCCCTTTAATGGCCTTGCCCTTAGGAAAAGGTAAGGGTGTGTAGTCTTGACTGTTAAATTTAAGTACCTGCCTAAACCTATATAGGAATAGAATGGCCCTTATTCCTGAAATCATTTTAAAAAAGGATTTATGTGGATTTTTCAAGGCATTTTCAAATATCATTTACGTGCCTTGTAGTTGTTTATGCTTTTTGATACTCTTACGTGGTCAAACCATTTAGAGATCTAGAAAGTTCAATTGAAATTTACTTTTTGAAGCTGAAGAATGAGTGCTCTGTCTGATGTGTCAAATGAAAATACAGTTTTCATTGCTTTTTAAAATGTTTCACTACTTAACAGGTTACATGTAGGGTCCTCCTTTCTGGAATTATGACTGCACTGTTGAATGTGAGTACATGAAGGATTCTGTAGTGAAAGTCTGTTCTCATAACTCATGATGTTTTCGAAGATGTTTGCTCTAGCCTGTTCATACAGCTTTATGTATTTTCTTCAAACCATTATTGTTCAATTAAAGGGAGGGAAGTGATTGTGTGATTGTGTAGGATTGTTCATTATAAACTGTTGCACACTGGACTTTCTCTACAAAGGCATTTAAGCATAGACTGTAAATGTTAAATGTGGGATTGATTAAGTCAGTTGTTGAGTGATGAATCCAGCTTGCTGACTCCCATGGGACTAAGGTGCTTAATTTTATCTTACTAAATATATGCTATATTTAGTGCTGAACACCTTATGGAATGGGTTTTGAAAACAAGGCAGTAATTATTAAAATACAAAATTTCGAGGTCTATATGATTAAGCTTGTTGTTACAAGGCTTTTTTTTTTAATCAAATAGTAGATTTTTTTTTTTTTTTTTTTGCTTAGTTTCTTCCATTTGTAAAATATTATTTAAAAAAGAAGTGATTGTTAGTGAATAAAAGATATTGTAGTGGCAATGGTAAGTCATGGCCTGAACCTATGGGTTACCTGGTGAGAAGGCAGGGCCAACCCAGGGGAGCTCAGGTGCATGCAATGTACCAAGTGACCAGAAGGGGTGGAGCCAGGATGCACCACTTCCCAGTCATCATTTAGGAGTTGGCAGTGGAGATAAGGGTATCTTTTGCTGGAGATCTGTGCCTACCTGAGGTCTTCCAAAGATAAGCAGCTCTTTTCTTTCATTTCTGTATCTGTGGCTGCTGCATTTAGGCTCATTCTCACTTGCTATAGACAAAGATTTTGTCACCCTGCTGTTATCATCTGATTATAGCATTATGCATATTATCTAAAGTTCACAGTAATTGGTGCTGGATGTCATTAGAGATATGTAAATGCAAGGTGAAAAAAATCTGCTTTTGGTTGCTTACTTTTTTCTGTTCTGTACCTTTGAGCAAAGATAAATAAAATAAACCTTTGGTTTATTTTACAATCAGTTTTTCTAAATGTTTTGGTAACCCCCATGAATTAAAAATTTGGTTAGAGAGCTCTCTGGAGGAATGCTGTAGTAAAAGGGTCCCTGTTGCAAAGGTGTCTGTTGGCATTGTTAAATGTTGGTGAGTTATTCAAGTAATCTTTTAGTATTGTGACAGAATAGAGATAAGGTCAGAATAGATTGACCTACCAGCCCCTTTAGGTCAAACCAGTGGTTGTATGGTCCATTGTTGAAGAGGCCTTTTGATGAAATGAAAGTAGTAGTTAGACATTTCACACAGTTTAAATTTACAGGCATGTTCCAAAAATGGTTAAATAGGTGGTTTGTAACTTGTTATGTCTGGCCTTCTGTTTATGTTAGATGGACCATTCAGAAATGCAACTTTGCACTGTTGTGTTGGGAGCTGTTTTGTCCCAGGTGTCAGTGAAAAACCTCTTTCTCTATCTTGTGTCTTACACATCTTGTTGCTACACATAGTACTGTGTGAGATACTTAATGAGAGGGAAGATTTTTTTTGCACTGAATTAACTTTGTCCTTCTGGCCTGTTTTAGTTTGTTGTTCTTTTGAATGGTGAGGGTGCTAAAAGCACATTTGAAGTCTTAACAACAATAAATTCCTTATTTTAAGCTCTCAGCTGCGTTTCAGACTTCAGGTTTCTTACAGCAATGGGAGCTAATTTGGACTTGTGAAAAATAGCGTGGTTTTTTTTTTTTTTTTTTTTTTTTTTAATGTGTCAGTGTTTACTTGTATGGTTTTTGTGCACAAAGCTTTCTTTCACAAACACATGTACACTTTTTGCAGTGTTAGGAACACACCTGCCTTCAATAGTGTTAGTGTAGTCAAAGCAAAGCACTAGTTAGTTCTCTTAACTGCTGATATGGCAAATATTTCTTTAAAAATTTTTTAAAGGGGAAGTATTGCTCAAACCTTGCTGAATTGTTTAAGGAAGATAAGGGGAGGCAAGATGAGCCAGGGCAGATAAGACTTAGAGGACTGCATCCAGCCAGGATACACCATTCTTGAAAAGAATGTAACAGGTAGTTGCTGACTGTATCCTTTTGGTTTAAGCTTAACCCAGATCAAAGGTGAAAAAGGACAAGTGGAAGACACAGAGCTTTCATCTTATGACCCCAGAAGACCACCATCACAATTCAGTACTCATGTGGAAAGGGCTAGGGATGGAGAATATAGTAATAATCGCTCGGATGTAATTGTAATATACCTCCTATTTGTGGCATATATATGACTTGTCTTTACAAATATTTCTTAACCTCTACCTCATGGCGTGCAAGCTAGGAAGGGCTACCTGGTTTGCACCCAGCATGTGTGCACAGTGCTGATTTAACCACACCTGTGTTATAACTGCTTTGTGGTTATAGAGTTTGATTTCTGCTACAGTACTGTGACACACACAGTACTGTAGCAGAAGTCTGACTTTTCCTATAATGAAAGGAATTAAATTTTGGTGGGAAGAGAGCGCAGTTTTTTTTAGAGTGAGGGTGGTGGTGTTTGTTTCATTTTACAGTCCTATCCCCTTATTTTCTTTCATGGAAGTCAAAAGGCACTTCTAAGGGCCAACAGTTAGATACCGCAAGTATTAATGAGAGAGCTTTATCATATGAATAAGAGTTTAATAGAGGTTCAGTTAAGTATTTCCTCTACAGTGCCTGGGATGCCTTGATCTGAAGAGATTCTATTTACTTTTAATTGAAAATATTATTTAAGTAACTTTGCCCACAGCAGAAATAAGACGATTTTCACAAGTGCCAGAGCTGGATTTGCAAATTTGTAAGATTCTATTAAATACAGTGCAGCTGTGGGCAGTCTTGTTTTGTTTGGGCTAATGCCTGTTCCTGCATATGGTCATCCTTAGAACTACAGTTTCATGCTGCTGTTTTTCCCCCTTTTAAGTCTTTGGTATTAGTGATGCAGTATTTACTCGAACACTTCATAAATCATACTTCTGTTTGGGTGTTTTTTGTTTGAACTTCTTTGTCTAATGCTGTTGCATGTGATTAGAGGAAGAGGTGCACTCACATCAGCAGCACAGTTACTTCCATCCAAAAATGAACTTATCCTTCTCTGTTTTTGCACCCAGGCCTGCAGAATAGAAATGCAGAGGGTGACCATTCAAACAAACGAGCAAGCAGGATACTTTAATTTTGTAACTCGCTTTCCTCTTTGGCAAGTGGAATGTTTTCCTTTTGAAATTGCTGTTTTTTTTTTTTTGTTTTTTTTGTTTTTTTTTTAATCCTAACCTTTTTTCAGACGTGCATATAAGCAATATATTGCTTTAGCTTAGATTTAAATAGTTGTGTTTCTTATTTCTTGTGGTGATTCTTGGCGCAGTCATCCTTCTGCTCCCCACCCGCCTCATCAGTTCAGTCATGCAGTCACTGCAGTCCTTGGGGACAGGTCCAAACAAGGCAACTTTGATTCATTGTTTGTGGATTAGAAGTGGTGTGGGTGTGGATGCTGAAAGTTGCTGTCAGAGGAGCTATCAATAGTCCGCTAGGAAAGCTTTGTTGTGGGCAGACAGCAGAAAGAAACCTGCCAACCCTCTTCCATATCCTTTATGGTGCTGTGTGAAGACTTACAGAAAGCTTGGCTCTGCTCCTTTTTTACGCTGAGGCTAATTTGAGGGAATGAGAGTTAGAACACTAGTAATTTATTTGCTCTGCTGATAGTCTCTGCAAAGAGACAGAGTGAGATGCTTTGAAACCTACACATTTCATTCACCAAATTAGGAGGTAATCAGAAGAACTTGGCAGATTCCAGGAAAAAAAGTATATTATTTGCTGTATTTTTTACTTATACATCATGGGATAGAAATTGTTCACTCTCTGTGAAAGAAAATATTTTATAAATAAAATATGGTAGTCATAAGGCAATGCTTTTTTGGTGTTTCTCCAAAATAGCATTCTTTTGGCCTTCTGTTAGGGGGGTCAAGTGTTCCCATATCCTTTCCCCTGCAAAAGAATATAACAACTTTGTAACATTCTGCTTCTCCCTTAACTGTGAGAGGTTTGAGAGAAGCTGTGGGTATACTCTTTGTGTTGGGCGGGGAGATGTGAGATGCAAGAGGTCCTTGTTGCTATTTTTAATAGCAGAAGCTGCTATTGTGGCATTGCTGTTGTAAGTATGTTGTTCTGCCCTGTTGTCACCTGATGGCAGCTGACAACTGAGAAGGACATGAATGATACAAGGCAATGGGAGAACTGGTGGTAGCAGATTTGGATCCCGGAGCCCCCGGTTCTCAATGAAAGGTCTGAAAGTTCAGTTATCCAATGGATCCCCAAAATCTCTAAGCACAATGTTCCTGATTTGGCTGTCTCTCTAGTAAACTGAATGGGTCAGCTGGCTTCCGTAGGTCATGGGGTTGATACCAGTACCAGTGATAAGCACTGTCCAGTCTAAATGACCCACCCGAACACTTCCACAAGTAACCAGAAG